CCAGCCGCGCCGCGTTGTGTAACGTGTTTACGGGCCTCTGTGTGTTCTCGGCCGGCCTGCGGCAGGGCTGGCGGGAGCGAAGAGCCCGCGGACGCGCCTGTCTGCCGTTCCCCTTCGCACGCGTTTGCTTCTCAAGGGCTCTTAGGGAAGCTCGGTGGGAGGCCTCCTTGTAACAGCGAAGTACTGACTTGTGGCTGGGGCATGCAGGCCTGTGTTGGCAAAGCGTCACATTAGCTCTGTAGGATTAGAGTTTTGAAAAGTTTTATTGTTACTGCAGTAAGATTTTAGGCTATCTGTAGGGTGCTGGTTCAAAGTATTTACTTGACGTCTTAAAGTGGTGCTGCTTTCTTTGGTCTTGCTTTAAAGCAAGAGGGGTTTTTGTTTGTTTAGTTTTGTTTTTGTGCTCTAGTGGTCACAAGGATGAATTCAGAGAAGTCCGTGCCCCTTTCTAAAGAGGCCAGGCTGAACCCGAACACCAGGTTCTCTCAGTAGGAAGCCGTGTGCCGCCCTTCGCTTTGCGAGCCCTGCTCGTGTGGCCCCCATCTCTGCACCGGGGAGTGTGGATACACCTCAGCTGCTCCCTGTTGGTGTCAGGGGGAAATAGACACACAAAAGGGGGATCATAAAGCAGAAATTGAGAGCTGTGTTTGAGGCCCCATTTGAAAGATGAAAGTTTATCCAAGCTAAGGACTGATCTGGAGAGCTGCTCCTGTAGCAGACTGTATTAGGTGTGTTTGTTGGTGTCCTGGCATTACAGTATCATCTCCTGAACACGAGCGGGTTGAAATGGATTTCTGGTATGCCTAATTCTATGACTATTGTAGCGAAACTGGGGGAGCGTTGCCTTTACTTGTGGATTTTTGCCCAGCAAACAGCAGTCATTTGTTTCCTGGTTAGTCATCACTGTCCAACCGCTTGAAAGTTGTGAGACTACGTAAGAAAGCAAAGAACGCGCTCTGTGCTTGGTGGTGCATGGGAAATAAATATTTTGAGAATTCATAACTTTTATTAGAATCACTGCACTTCTTAACTCCTTTTGTTAATAATCTGCTTAGCACAGTTTGTGTTGCAGTTGTGCAATGCCTGTCCAGGGATTCTTGAGTGTGACCTGTGTTTTTTTTTTTTTTTTAAAAAAAAAACCCTGAATGCATAATTTCCGGAATTCTGTAATGTGGAATTTTTAATGTTGTTACAGAGCCTTCATGCACAGTGAGCACTTATTTGACAAAACTAAGTTCTTTAAAAAAAAAAGTTTTTTTTTTTTTTTTTTTTTTTTTTCAAATTTGTTCGGCCAGGATTAGTGAGGATTTGGCACCACGTAGGGAACCCCAGTTTAAGGAATTACAGATCTAAGGTAAAGTAATAATGTGAGCTGTGTCTGAAGAAGGTTAGAAATAGTTTATCTGACTCTTTTAATTACTTAAGCCTGTGCTTTCTCACAGTGCTCTGTAGAGATGGTTTCGTTGTGCACCCCGTAGTCTGGTTGGTGATAGGCCTTTAGCAAGGTGAAACTGGCTGGAAATCTTCACCTTTCAAGGGAAAACACTGGGGGATAGATATGGAGCTTTACGTACTTCAAAAATCCTCTAAACTGTCTTCTCACTTTGAGAAAGTGTTCTCGAAGTGAGAAAATGTGGAGTAGTCTAATTATGGTTCATCCACAAAAATACAATGATCTACCCTATTTGATCCATCTTCAGAGCACCTGGAAATACAGAGGAGAATCTGCCCTGCTGTTAGAGAACAGCCTTGTGTCTTCTAAACAGAAACAGATCCTACTCCTTCTCCCATATGGTTATTAGGACAGAGTTATAAAGATCTATCAAGGTTTAAAGCTCGTTGTGAT